ACTCAGTGGTTTACTCTGAGGTGTTTGTGTGTTTCCATGTCCTTTCAGCTACTAGCGGGTGAAAGAGGGCAAGAATAAGTTTCTGAACACAGGTAAAGTGACTAACAGCGTGAACACTTGGAATGTGCCAGAGTAGGTCTTCTTCACTCCTCCAGCGTAGTGACAAAATGGAAAATTTGGGTACATACTGGAAAACTCAGGTTACAAGGTGGGATAATTTTTCCTTTTGTTGTACCCTAGTTTTCTGTTTGAGTGATCCAGCTCTTATAAAATGTCGTTCTAATGGCATTAATCCACACAAATCCCTCCTGCCTCTAACATGCTTGTACACGCACAGTCATGGTAAGAAAGGCCGTTCCAGTATCTTGCTGCTAATGAAGGATTTTCGTTAGAGCATACGTACAGCTTACCTTGTAGTTCCACTGGGGAAAAAAAAAAATCTCTTCAAGTTTTCTGAAGTTTTCCTTAAGGGAAGCTTGGCTACAATATGTAAAGTGGTCTTAAAGATGCTTTCTAAAGTCCAAACGGGTAACCTAGTGTAGCTATGCACCCTATAAGGTGCGGAGGATGCTCACCTGTGCTGTCACAGAGCAGGATCCAGCCGCTGGAAAAGGACAGTCATGGTAAACGCATCGCAAACCACTCTGTTGTATCACTAACTCGTTCAGAAGGAGAAGGACGGAGAGGGTTAGATCATCGATATTTTTCCACAGTAACTTAGTTAACATCAACTATAGGAAAAAATTATTTGTGAGGAGGAGTCCAGGAAAGCAATTAAAAGAGAGGACTCTAGGGGGTATATATTCAAAGAATTAATTGTGTGGGAAGTTGCGTGCGTAACTTCCACTGAAGTCAACGTCTAGAGGGGCTTTGTGGTGGACGGGTGAGGAGATGGTGTCTTTAAGCACGGTCACCTTTTTCTGGGTGAATACTGAAACCTGTGACTGGCTATGTAATGACTGTGTTCGTAGCCTGTGAGCGAAAGAACTGGGATAACCAACCACGAAAAAAAACCTGAACAACAAAAACCAGGAGGAGGGCAGGCTATACAATAACGTTTTGCCTTTCTACACCAAGCTTTCAGTAGACCTCAGAACGTTTTAGAAAAGTGGGCAAGTCTGACCCCATTTTTGAATACTAACTGGGATAAAGAAGTAAAATGACTTCTCCAAGAAGTCCCAGCACTCCTGTTGTTAAAATTGGGGGTGGCTCGTTCCCTGCGTTGCTCTTGAAGCCCTTAGAAGAAACTGGTGGTGGTCTCCGTAGAGGACGAAGTGTATACTTTTTAATGTGCTCGTTGCTGACATGGCCTGACTCCTCATGGTTTCCATTTTATTATGGGAGGTATTGTGGTGGGGTGCTTAAAAGGTAGTTTGTGCTTCCTCTACTTGTATCTGTTTTGTAATTAAACAAAGACCTTCAGACTCCAGAGAAATTTTTACTGCACTTTTCCTCCGCAGTAAATTATGACCAAATAACAAAATAAATGCAGAACAGGAGAAACTTGTTGTATTACCCATGTTAAAAATATTCTGGATTTTCTTCTGAGAAGCCTCAGCACCTTTGTGGCTCAGGGGAAAAAACCAGAAATTTGAAAGTGCATGCTCTGCATTCCGAATGCTCTTTTATCACCATGAAGAACACCTGGCCATGTTGTAACCCTCTGAAAAATCACACTAATTTAACGAAGACTCCTTTAGCAGCAAAAGCCTTCATCACTGATCACGGTCCCGTTCCTGTGCACGACCGGACTTTGAGTGCACATCCCTTACCGAGCAACAAAAGGTACCCCACCACCCTCCAGCTCCTGTGTTCCATCAGGAGCGTGGACCCTGCCGTCTGCCCAGGGTCGTGCTCAGAGGCTACGAGGGCAAAGGCAGACTTTCTCCACAACGCCTGCTTAGCCAGGAGATTGGGAAAAGGCACTGGGATAAGGCCATGGAAAGCAACGGGGAGGGGGAAGCCTCCCCGCCCTACTCTAGTAGGGTTTTCCTGCTGGTAGGTGGGTAGAGATCAGGAAGAAGGTGGTGAGGCTGCTGAGGGGAGAGCATAACCACCAGGAGAAAAGCTGGGATGAAGAGCCTGGAGAAACACAAGATCAGTAACTGTGACCCAGGATGTGGAGGAAGGACTTGCTGAGCCAGGTGAAGGAAGCTGACGTGGATGAGGTGAGGTCTGGGATTAGGTGGCCAAAGAGGAGGGAAGATGGAGGGTTGCTGGGGATAGTGGGGATCAGGAGAAGCAGAACTGAAAGGACTTGGGGTGTGGAGAAGGAAGGAGGAGCGAGTAGATGGATGGTGATAGAAATGGTGGGAGCAGAAACAGTGAGCCAAGGAGAGCGCAGGGCAGCTGGTGTCGGATGAAAGGGCAAGACCTGGATTTTGGTTTCAGCAGAGGGAAAGGAATGAGGCATGGATGGGGGGACAGAGGTGGGAGGAGAAAGAGGGAAGAGAAAATAGGTGGCAGAAGTAAGAACTGTGACATCTGATGGTTTAATCCTAGCTCTGACGGAAACGTGGGAGAAAAGAGGCCAAATGAAAGTTGCACGAACAACCTGCCTTCTCGTACTCCCAAACTCTTGGAGTGCCTCCTTACCCGTAATGCTCTCCATTTTAGGCATGTTTAGGTGTGCACATGTGCCATATAGAACATCAAGTGGGCAGACATACATGAACATAAAAGTGCAGTCTTCCAAGAGGTCGTACAATGCAAAAGTTGAAGCTCTAGCACCATTTTTTTTTCTCCTCTTACATTTGATGCCATGTATATCAGAAAATATCAGCATAAGTATGAATTACTGCAGGGTCTCTGAGGCAAGTTGAATCATTTGGGTGGAACTAGCTGAGAAACTGAAATCTCTGGAAGATTTTAGCCCCTCACAGTTCGGAAGGCAGAGCTGCTGTAGTTTGTCTCAGAAACAGGGGTCTTCAGGATTTATTTTCCTGCAAAGCTGAGAGCTCAGAAAACTTGCATTCAGCTTGGCGGAGTTAAATCCAACAGTCCGCAGCCGTGACTTTCAAACCCTAGCCTGTGCACCACAGGATCCATAGGCAGCTTTTATAAGGCTTGCGTAAAGGTCTTTAAGAAAAACAGGGCGGGGGGAGTTGCTGAAATTTGCTACAATTGCAAATTTTACATATAGAAACTAGGAAAAAAATTTGCAATTCCTTAATGGACAACATAAAGATACGAAGGAGACCAGAGGCACTTCCAAATCTGGCCTCCTCTTATGAAGCGGGCAGTTCTACGGAGGCAAGGTTTAGCATTTGGGTGTATGGTTTTGTTTTATGCTCTTTGGGCCTCCTGTCTGCTGAGGATCAGCCTTTCTGATGAAGATAAATGGCCTCTGCCCACCGTAGCTTTAGGTTTTAGTTCCAGCTGGGATACGCTGGTAATCCTGAGATACAACATGGTCTTCTGAATATATTGCAGTTAACTTCAGTTGTATAAATCCAGGCATTAGCCGGATAATATAAATAGGCAGGCTGTGCAAGGAGGCCAAGTTGAAAATGTGCAGGAACCATGCCTTTTTTCTTTAATGCAACCCTGAAGTTGTGCTACGTTTCCTCGTGTATAATATTTTTCATCTGAAAAGGAAACGATATGCATGTGCTTTGTGGCTGTAGTAATTAACTGGACATAATGAAGCGCTGAATTTCACACTTTGGAGAAGAGACTGGGGGAGGATGGGTAAGTTTTTCTCAAGTTTTCTTGCTTTTAGTGCTTTCTCGGAGGTAATTTTCTGCAAGATTGGGTAGAGAGCAGAAATACATCTGGTTTATATTATGTGATGGCTGTACTTTGGCAATGGAAAGAGATGGCACTTAAAAAAATGGAAAGAAGAATAAAAAAGAAAAGCTTGGCAACTACAGAATGGAGCAACAATTACAAGAACTATCTTAAAATTCCCAGGATTTGTAATTTATTTTTCCACGCTTGCATTTTTCTGATGTTGCTGATGTTAAGGGAGCGAGACAGAGGAAATTCAGTAGGATTTTACAAAGCACAGATATCTCCGTGAAACAAGCTCCTTTATTCAGGTTGCCCCCACAGCAGCTGCTGTGATTAACATGTGGGTGGTAGCGAAAGGGATAGGAAGCAGGACTCATATGTTCACTTTAAAAAAAGTGATAGATCGCCATTTTTTTTTCTGTTGTTTTCTTCAGCCAGTGGTCATGAATTAATGAAGGTGATCTCCCCCTTAACTGCAATTATCTACGGGTATAAGGCAGAAGGAAAATTAATGCAGATGTTTTTTTGGAAACAGAGCCGTGTGAGGCATCTTTGTGGTGGGAGAGGGGAAAAGTCGTTCAAGCAATGCAACCGTACCTCCTGATGTGTTACCTACTACGGTTTCCATTTTTTCTTTCCTTTATGTATTCACCCAGGAAACACTC